GCATTGTTATTTCCCTGGTTACTGGATACTGAATTGGCAGATCCGCATATTGTGCAACTTTTTCTGCTCCCTGGGGAGTATCCCTGGTCATTGCTGCTTGAACGCGCACGATCCATACATTTATTTTCCATACCATCCTACAAGGTACCCACTTACTACTAGAAAGCTCAAAGCCTAAGTAGGGTATAGAATCCGAAATGTTAAGTGCAATTATTCAAAAACAGATATTAGTTTTGCCAAGTTTTAGGGTAAGTATTTAGAGAACAAACTTTCCACAGTAATGTTAAACATGTCGTCTGAATTTTTCTTAGTCAATGTTGAGTATATAATAATATCTGCTTTGTCTTAAGATATTCTGGTGTGTGCTTTCGTGCGTACTAGATATCGTCTGTTAACAATACAAATTTAAAAGAGATAGACTTTTTGGTTTTTTGCTTGATGGGTTTAAATCATTCAGTGACAGAAATGGTCTTTTTCCATTTGTTTATTTGTGTTTTTGTGAGCCGGTCATGGTTTATCCGGTCGAGAATGGTCTTGCCTAAGATTTTTGATGGGTTTAAGAGTCTACAGTCTGGTTTATGTAAAAAGTTTTCGTTATGGTCTTTGAATGTTATGAAAGATTTCTTCATCAATTGTTTCTAGTTGGTTCCAATTTCAAGCTTTATAGCAATTGATTTGGTTGCGTTGTCAATTTTGTGGGTCCTGCCTTCTTTTCTCTTCTTTTATATGATATATGATCATATATAGGTGACTATACATATATGATAGGTGACTCTATGTTAAAGCATGTTAAGACAAAGGGACTGTGCGAAACATCTGTCAGAACACTAAGAGGAGCGACTGTGGAACAAGTAAATCATACACTATGTGAGATGGACCTGACTAGCGTAGAAAATATTGTTATTCATGCTGGAACCAACAACTGTAGTGAAATCAACTTTGATTTAGAAAGTCTGAAGAAGGACTATACTGATATTATCACAATGCTTAAAACAAGGATTCCAGGTAAGGTTCTTATCTCTGAAATTTGTCCAAGACTTGATGATTTAGAATTAAACAGGCGAGTAAGTGCGGCAAATGAAATGCTCAAGTCGTCTTTCGGTAACATTGTTATTGATCACAGACAAGCTTTCACTACAGCAAAAAGGAGTTGATTACTCAAAATTTGTAAAACATGGTTTGCATCTTAATCTGAAGGGTACATCGGCCTTGGTAAATATTATTAACAACGCACTACCAATAATCTCACAAACGAAGAAAAGATCTACAGGTAACAAACCGAGCATGGTGGAAGCCAAATGTTATTTTTGTGGAGAGAGTGGACATGTGCAACGTGTTTGCAGACATGGTAAAGCAGTTGTATGTTGGATTTGTAAACAAGTTGGACATAAAGCCAAATTCTGCCAAGTTGAACACTGAAAAAATGGCAAAGGAGATGAAGCCGTCAATTATGAAACAGACAGTGATATAACTTCTAATAATAATGAGTGTACTATAAATGGAAATAATCAAAACAATTTCTCAAATTCTTCCATTAATAGTGTAAATAATATAGTTAAATCAAGTTATGATAAACCAGGTAAAATATTAAGTTTATTTTACTGTAATATAAGAAGTGTGAAAAACAAGTTGTTGGAGTTTAATGCTAGATTTTCTTCATCGTTTTATGACATAATTACTATAACAGAGACATGGTTGGATAGTACAGTATATGATAGTCAACTTTTAAATAATGATTATAGTATTTTTAGAAAATAGAAAATCCATGGAGGAGGTGTTTTAATTGCTTGTAAAACATATCTAAGTCCATCTTTATGTACAGAACTCAATGAAATTACACTTGAATTGATCTGGATAGAATGTCATAGTAACATAGGTAAGATTTTGTTAGGAGTGTTTTATAGACCTCCTTCATCAAATGTTCAATATTTAAATGCTTTAATTGAAAACCTAGATAAGATACAAACAAAGGTGGCTGACTATAAACAGGTATTACTCATAGGAGACTTTAATATACATGTTGATTGGAACTGTTTAAATGTAAACAATGGCTTATCCAACCAAGCAGGAAGTTTGGTAGATGGAACAATGGCAAGTGGATTAGTGCAGGTAATAAATCAGCCTTCTTATGTAACACGTAATGGGGATGGTCACTTTTTAGACTTGGCCTTTGTTAGTAATCCACTTTTAATTGATAAATGTCAAATTATCAACAATTTTGACTCCTGTGATCATGAGGCAATTGAGATATATATGAGAATATCAAAACAACGTGAAAAAGTTATAACTAAATCTGTATATGCCCTAAAAATGCAGATTTTGAAAAGATGAAAATTATGTTGAATAATTTTAATTGGGAAAATTGTTTTCTGTTTGAAAACATTAGTAACATTTGGGAAAGTATTATAAGTTATATAAATAAGGCAATTTCTAAATCAGTGCCTATTAAGAAAAGAAGTAAGATCAAATCATTTCCATGGATTACTACAGAAATTAAGAAACTTTGTACAAAGAAAAGAAAATTATATAAGAAGGCCAAGATGTTAAAGACACAGGAGGCAACAGAAAAATTTAAAAGTTGTAGCAGAAGTTTGAAAAAAGCCATATACTGTAGTCATAGAAATTATGTTTTAGATATCTCAAATAAGGCGTCTACAAATATGAAACAATTTTGGGCATACATTAGGGCAATTAAACAAGATTCAGAAGTTATAAGTTTTAAAATAAATGATGGTGTAACAGATGCAAAAGAGTTAGCAAACCTATTTAACGATCAATTTTCTAGTAATTTTTGTAATGATGATGATGATAATGACTTACTTTACAACTCTGATATTGTCTCAAAACACCATATGGAATTTGAAAAATTTAATGTGATGGAGGTTTATCAGGCATTAAACTATCTAATTGTTTCAAAGTCTCCAGGACCTGATAATTTATTTCCCATATTCCTAAAAGTATGTAAGGAAGAACTGGCAAGAGTATTGTGTAACTTTTTTAATTTATCTTTAGAGAAATGTGTTTTACCAAAACAATGGAAAACAGCTAATGTTGTACCAGTTTTTAAAAAACATGGAAAACCAAAGGGAGAGATAAAGAGCTATAGGCCCGTGTCTTTAACACCAATTGTTTGTAAGATTATGGAAAAACGTTTATGTAAACGAATAAGTAATTTCTTAGAGTTCAATAATTTATTATCAGATAATCAGTTTGGTTTTAGACATGCATATAGTACTGAATTGTTACTCACAAAGGCATTTCATTCATGGGCTCAAAGTTTAGAATCTAAAGATTGTAGACAAGTAGATCTGCTTTTGATAAGGTCCCACATAAGCGTTTACTTAAAAGCTTAATAATATTGGTATAAACAAAACTGTAAATAAATGGATTCAGGACTTTCTTTCAGATAGAAAACAAAGAGTCATCTATAGAGGTGAAACTTCTAAATGGAAGAGTGTAATATCAGGAGTTCCTCAAGGGTCAGTCCTTGGCCCTTTGTTATTTTTAATGTATGTAAGTGACCTTGAATATGGTATAACATCTTCAATTTTTCAATTCGCTGATGACAATACGATTTCAAGACCTATTTATGAAATAGACGACTGTATTAGGCTTCAGGGTGATTTATATAGGATTGTTGAATGGTCTATTGTTAACAAACTGCCGCTAAATGCATCTAAATGTGCAACTATGAGTTTATCTAGGTGTAAAGAGCCTCTTATATGGGACTATAGTATAAATTTTGAAACAACTGAAAGAGTCCATGAATTTAAACTACTTGGTGTTTATATTAACAATAAGTTATCATGTCATTCTCATTTGAATTATGTTAGTAATAAGGCAAGCAGACTTCTTGGTTTTGTTTCAAGATGTAGTAAGACAATGTCTTGGATGGCTATGCTCAATCTTTATAAAACTTTAATATTACCGGTTATGACGTACTGTTGCTGCATATGGGCACCTACTGAAATTTCAAATATTTATAGACTAGAAAGGGTACAAAAAAAGGCAACTAGAATAATTATGTACAGAAAGGAAGGAAATTGGGACATGTCATATTTATATAGATTAAGGATTTTGAATATTTTAAGCATGGAGGATATTTTTAAAGTATATCGACTAACGTTAGGTTTTAAAATAATGCATGGACAATGTCCATTGTCGTTTAATAATCTTGTGAGATCAAGTGAAAGGTGTGAAGGGCGATTAATACATTGGAAAGTCAAGACTAATACATTTTTAAATTCATCTTTTGTTATTTTTCCTAGATTATGGGAACAACTTCCTAATGAAATTAAACAATGCACGTCCATTTCGGACTTTAAAGCCCAGCTCACAAAACACTTGATCTCAAAATATTAATACTAATAATAACTATTAATTATCTCTGTTTTTCATTTTGTTTTAGTTAAATCAATTTATTTTGAATTTACTTTTTTTGTATATATTTATATTGTATTGTCATTGTATTTGTTTTTGATGATGGAGTAAGAGCAGCTTACTGTTTGGGCTTATGCCTATTACTTACTCCTGGCAAGAATATTGTATGTATACTTTTTACTCTGCCGAATAAATATTATTATTATTATTATTATATAGCGATGTTTTCATGTATGAGTTAATCGCACTACACCTAGTTACTTTTTAGAAGTTTATTGTTTATTAGCAGTGTGGGATGAGTTTATTTGCTTTGCTAGTGATATTTAAGATCTTTGAGCATGAGGACTGCATTTTTTCAGCAATGTTTCCCATGCTTTTAAAGTTGAGACTATAAGGTTTCCTAGCTTTTCTACAGCTGCACTCTGTGTGAGCGTTTCAGTCTTTTGTAAGAAAGTCCGTGGGGGATATATATTAAAATTACTTATTTAAATTACCCCCTTATTTTTCACAGACTGTTATTATAGGTGGTGAAAACAGAGACAAAAGGGCTAGTGGCAAAAATAATAGTTATGAAAGTGTATTTTACCGTTTCTCAAACATGCCCCATCGAAGATTCTGACGTCATCTAAAGCAATATCACCGTAATAACCACTTCCTACAATTCCTTCAAACACTATCTGGAAGGCACTCTTTGTTTCAACTGACAGTTTTCCAAGTCGCCAGAAGTTTCCTTGATTGTTTCTATTTACCCACGCAGGTGCACCAACGGTACTTTCTGTATTGACTATGTACACATTCAATGTGTTCACTGTTTCCCCGTACATGTGGTAAAACCACTTGATGCATGTGCCATTTGTTGCAGGATATGATGTTGTCCAAAGACGAGCGGTTTGGTTGTATCGCCAATATGAATCTTTGAGGTACATGTAGGAACCTGTAGGCAAATGATAAAATAAAAGTTTTGGTTTAAGAGATATTGTTGTTCTATCTCTTTGTCGTTTATCTTATTTATTTCGTTTGTAGTTTTAGAAATAATTTCATTAAGAATTTACAAATTTTATTTAGGAAATTAAATTCATGTTAGTTTTTTAATACCTTGTAATGTTCCGTAGGTGTGGTCATACGCAGGACCAGCACCAAATGTGTATGCTAATCCAGATGCTCTTATCCAATCAAAATCATCATATTCATCTTGTACAAAGTAACAGATGTGTGGATCCTCAAAATCACATTGATTTTGTGCTGAAACAATAATCCCAAGACCAAATTAATTAACTGATTGTAATTGCATTGGTTAAAACAGTTACTGGAAACCAAAGTACTATAATTCGTAAATTTTGTTAGGAAAACATCCTATCATAAATTATCAAGAATTTCAATAATAAAAAAAAACACATTTCAAATTTTACTCACATAAACTGTGAAATTTGTTTCTGTTGTTATCAAAAGTTTAAACTTTTATTACATTCGAACACCAACACAGATGAGCTATTTTTTGAATAATAATAATAATAATAATAATATATTTAATAATAATAGTAATAATAATAATAATAATAATAATAATAACATTTATAGCGCAATAAAACGAGGTCTCTATGCGCCCGACAATATTGTAGACAATACACTGTACTCCAGTTAGCATCAGTTAAGTCTTGATCTTTTCTGAGATCATTAGTAAAATAAATAATAGATGAAGAAGATATAACCATTATCTCAGTTGCAAACTGAAACCTGAAACTGATGTTGACATTAATTTTTTAATATTCATTCTATTAGCCTACATTTATGCATATTATTTACAATCTTTTCAGAAACTGATCATGTTGTATACATTTTTAACCATGTTCTGCACATTAGGTTTATTATTATATTTAGCTCAATACGTAATGCACATTATTTATCTGTAAAAACTTACATATATTGCAAGTTGGTCCAACAAAACCAGGCATACACTGACAGTTCTCGATTCCGTAATCCAAGACACAGACTCCGCCGTTCAAGCAGTCAATATCGCAAGTTTCTTCAATTAGAAATTAAACATTAATTAGTGACATACTCTATATTAAAATAACCTCATCGCTCATCACAATACTAATTGTATAAAATTATTATTGTTATGAAAATCGCATTTGTCTTTATATACATTGATTGATATACATTGATTATGTAAGCGATAGATTATTGGCGGTGCTTTTAAGCTTAATACTATAAACTTAATTGCTAGTGACTAAACTACAATATACAATACTGTAATTAAACAGGAAATAAAATACAGTGAGATTTATATAAGGTCCTATATAATTTAAACAATTGTGGAATAAAAAATTAATGAAGGAATATAATAGTAGTTCTATATGTATGTTTAAATTATATAACGCATGATATGATGACTATTAAATACAGTTTAGAAATCAAGGGACATAATATAATGTACATACGTCAACATAATATAAATGTATATAGCATAATTAGATACTTTATTCATAGTGAATTATTGCATATGAAGGCTTTGATATATATATATATATATATATATAAAATACATAGTGATCAGAATTATCAATGAAATTGATGCAATTGACGCTGTTGCCTCGGTTATACATACATACAGACATGAAAGTACTGCAAGAAACTTTGACTTAATTGAGACATTGAAATGTATTAGTACAAAATTTTCGGTAGCACCTGCTACCTTCATCAGCGTACGAGTATCTCATGATGAATGTAGCAGTGATTATAGTGGCGCTATATAAGTGATTATACAAGGCGCTGCCATCATTATTTCCTTGGTTACTGGATACTGAATTGGCAGATCTGCACATTGTGCAACTTTTTCTGCTGGAGAGTATCCCTGGTTATTGCTGCTTGAACGTGCTCTACCCATACATTTATTTTATTTATTTTATTCATTTGGCATGACGGCTCAGGAGTCACAAAAGTGGAAAATCCACTGTCGCAGATTCTACAAGTGATTATACAAGGCGCTGCCATCATTATTTCCTTGGTTAGTGGATACTGAATTGGCAGATCTGCACATTGTGCAACTTTTTCTGCTGGAGAGTATCCCTGGTCATTGCTGCTGTATGCGCACTACCCATACATTTATTTTATTCATTTGGGCATGACGGCTCAGGAGTCACAAAAGCGGAAAATCCACTGTCGCCAGAAGGACGTGCGGCTCCCAACACACAGATTACCAAAAACAAAATAAATATATAAACAGTAAGAAACTAAGATTTACAATAGAACATTTTTTTTTAGTTTTGCCTTAAATAATTAAAAATTATCACAAACAAAAGAACTCTTGATATCTTCCGGTAACAAATTCCAAAGTCTAACAAAACGAGTGGCTATAGAAGACTTTGACATGTCATATACGTCATACCATCCTACAAGGTACTCATTTACTACTAGAAAGTTCAATGCCTTAAAGTAGGGTATAGACTCCCAAATGTTAAGTGCAATTATTCAAAAACAGATATTGGTTTTGCCAAGTTTTAGGGTAAGTAATTAGAGAACAAAAAGAATCACATATATTTTATCCCCGCCGTAACTCCCCCAAGTAATGTTAAACATGTCGTCTAAATTTTTCTTAGCCAATGTTGAGTAAATAATAGTATCTGCTTTGTCTTCAGAGATTCCGGTGTGCTTTCGTGCGTACTAGATATCGTATGTTAGCAAAATTTGTGATAGATAATTAGAGTTCCAAAATGTTAAAAGAGATAGACTTTTTGGTTTGTGCTAGATGGGTTTAAATCATTTAGTGACAGAAATGGTGTTTTTCCATTTGTACATTTGTGTTTTTGTGAGCCGGTCATGCTTTATCCAGTCGAGAATGGTCTTGCCTATGATTTTTAATGGGTTTAAGAGTCTACAGTTTGGTTTATGTAAAAAGTTTTCATTATGGACTTTGAATGTATGAAAGCTTTCTTCATCAATGATTTCTATTTGGTTCTGATTTTGTTTTTTGTATTTGAATAAACATGACTTTCAGCGTATATTTGCATCATGTGTGGTTATTTAAATAATAAAGCATGGCTCAGGTGCGCGAAGGTATTTGAGTGAAGCGTTGTGGTGAAAGTGTTATTTTTCCCCTTGTTTTGTTGAGTGGAACGGCTGCGTGCGGGATTGGCTGGGTAATGCCTTGTGTCTTGTATGCTGTGCCGTAGATTTCCGTGCGTTGTATGGTATATCGGGTACTGTGGCTCGGTTTCACGTACTGGTGTGACGATGTTACAGGACAGACCTAAAACCAACACGAAGCGGGCATAAGATCGTGATCGTGAGTTTTCATGTATTTGTTTTTGGTTCTTAATAATTAAATGTGCAAGTATTGATTATTACTGTACTTACCCTGTGTGCAATGTAAAATGTAACTTTATAGCTTCGAAACGGAATTGTAGATTCTTTGTTATGTCATATATTATTGTATTATATTGTAGATCTTAGATGGTCAGAAGAACGGGAGGAAGATTGGAAGGACAGACCAATTGCTCTTTCCGATTGACCACTTGATGCCGGGAATCTCAAACTCTGGAGCTAAACTTTATTAAAATTATTATTATGAGGTTTTTTTTGTACACCCATAGTTCTGAATTCGTCAGGGGAGCTGAGGTCCCCGACGGGGGGAGGGGGACCACCTCGCTGGTGCCACCCCTGGAGTTCGTGTTAGCCACGTCAGAGCTGAGTTCGTGTTAGCCACGTTATAAGAGCTGAGTTCGTGTTAGCCACGTTATAAGAGCTGAGTTTGTGTTAGCCACGTTATAAGAGCTGTGTTCGCGTTAGCCACGTTAGAAGTGCTGTGTTCGTGTTAGCCACGTTAGAGGTGCTGTGTTCGTGTTAGCCACGTTAGAAGTGCTGTGTTCGTGTTAGCCACGTTATAAGAGCTGTGTTCGTGTTAGCCACGTTATAAGAGCTGTGTTCGTGTCAGCCACGTTAGAAGTTCTGGGTTTGTGTTAGTCACGTTATAAGAGCTGTGTTCGTGTTAGCCACGTTATAAGCGCTGAGTATTATTCTTATTATTCTTATTTGTTTATTATTATTATTATTATTATTATTGTTATAACCAGTTATTATTGCATTGCCTTGAAGTGTTGATTGTAAATTTTAAAAGTGATAGATAGGCCTAATTGATAACCTTGCAAGCAAAATTGTCTTTATATGCAATACTGACTAATTGTTTGTACTGTTTGATGGTGATAGACAGAATTGACTATTGCAACTAATGATCTATTGTTCTATGTTGATGTTATGGTTAACTGTATTGTTGAAACTATTACTAGTAAGCCGTGACAATAGTAGCATCATTATTCTTGAGCTATACATTGATATATTATATATTATTGGAGATCAATGTGTAGATTAATAATAATGAGGTTATTATTATGGATATTATTATATAATTGGAGATCGTTGTCCAGTATATTAATGGTAAAGTGCACAACTAATTAATTATGCTATACAAAGTAATATGAGTGTAAATTACGATAGTTAGATGGACTAATTGTTAATGTGATGTGTTGTGGTTAATAAAGTTGAACCCGAGTTTAATTCCGTGTCGTAACTTATTGCCAAGGTCCTGTCTCCGTTTTAGAATTCTGGAGGAACTTGTGACACCAATTTCAAGCTTTGTAGCAATTGCTTTGGTTGCATTATTAATTTTGTGGGTGCTGCCTTCTTTTCTCTTCTTTTATGACATGATGTAGTGATATTTTCATGTATCAGTTTAATCGCACTATACCTAGTTACTTTTTTAGAAGTTTGTTGTTTATCAGTAGTGTTGGATGAGTTCATTTGCTTTGCTGGTGATATTTACGATCTGAGCATGAGGAATGCCCTTTTTTCAGCAATGTTTTCCATGCTTTTAAAGTTGAGACTATAAGCTTCCTAGCTTTTCTACAGCTGCACTCTGTGTGAGCGTTTCAGTCATTTGTAAGAAAGTCCGTGGGGGATATATATTAAAATTACTTATTTAAGTTACCGCCTTATTTTTCACAGACTGTTATTATAGGGCGTAGGTGGTGAGACAAAAGGGTTAGTGGCAAAAATAATAGTTATGAAAGTGTATTTTACCGTTTCTCAAACATGCCCCATCGATGATCCTGACGTCGTCTAAAGCAATATCTCCTGTATTACTACTTCCTACAATTCCTTCAAACACTATCTGGAAGGCACTCTTTGTTTCAACTGACAGTTTTCCAAGTCGCCAAATGTTTCCTTGATTGTTCCTATTTGTCCACGCAGGTGCACCAACGGTACCTTCCTTGTTGACTAGGTACACATTCATTGTGTTCACTGTGGCCCCGTACATGTGGTAAAACCACTTGACGCATGTGCCATTTGTTGCAGGATATGACAATGTCCAAAGACGAGCGGTTTGGTTGTATCGCTGATATGAAGTTTCGATATACATGTAGGAACCTATAGGCAAATGATTAAATACATGTTTTAGTTTAAGAGATATTGTTGTTCTATCTCTTTGTAGTTTATTTTATTTATTTCGTTTGTAGTTTTAGAAAATTTAAATTCATTTCAGCTTTTTAATACCTTGTAATGTTCCGTAGGTGTGGTCATAAGCAGGGCCAGTAGCAGATGTGCGTGTTGATCCAGATGTTCTTATCCAATCAAAATCATCATATTTATCTTGTTCAAAGTAACAGATGTGTGGATCTTCAAAATCACATTGTTTTTTTGCTGAAACAAAAATTCCAATACAAAATTAATTAACTGATTGTAATTGCATTGGTTAACACTGTTACAGGAACCTGAAGTACAATAATTCGAAAAACATCTTATCTAAAATTTGCAAAAATTTCAATACTAAAAAAAAACCAATTTCTAAATTTCACTCGCATTAAGTCAAACCGGTATCCCCAACACATTGTTTCATAATGTTATTGGTATATATTGTTTTGAAACTATAAATTTTACATTACTTAATTAGCTTCTTAAAAATTGTATTATTGGTTCATGCAATTTCTCGTTTGAACTAAAGACGACACCTAAACACCTTAAAGATTTACAATTTCAATTACATTTTATTTTTTAATTCCATTTTACTTTAATAAATATCTTCTTTTCTGACTACAATAATATTATTATTTTTTTCAATTTATACAGCACCATAGCCAAGTATTTTAAGGTAAATGATTCAAACCATGTCATTGAATAATGCAAGATTACTTATGTAAATTTAAAATGGTTAGATAATAAATCCCTAGTCTCTATACTATTTTTTGTTTAATAATAATAATAATAATAATAATAATGATGATGATGATGATGATGATGATGATGATGATGATGATGATGATGATGATGATGATGATGATGATGATGATGATGATGATGATGAT